CAAGTTTTTTGTATTCAAAGCATAATTAGTCATGTCAAAGTGAGAAGTTGTTTTGTTGGTCCCCTTGACTGATCAAGTTTCCGCGAGACAAGTACAATGCAGACCTCTAGGGCCTGTAACGGACAAATTCTTCTGTATTCACAAATTTCACGATCCAAAACAACTCTGTTTAAGGCATCCCAATTGATGTATCCATTCGACTCTCTTGTTGCTGCAAATCAGAACGTTATCGGGATGTATCTCCAGAATATCCTTGACATTCTGTCATCGTTTTGTCGACAAGTTGATCCATCACGTATAATGAAAGCTCAAGGTTCGGTATATGTCAACTGTACTTCTAACCCTTCTAACTCTCTTCAATGGCCGTCTTTTCAAATTGTCTATGCAGTTCAAACAACATGAATGATTAGGTTTTGCGAAATCCCAATGACTTCTGCATAATCCCGGTTTTCATTTTTCAGCCCCGGATTCAGCAGTTTTTGAAATTTAGCAGTATCACGTGAAAAAAATTTTTTGAATCGGTGCGTTCATAGTTAATAAGAAAACAATTTATTCAACAAAGCATATGGGTAGCAGCATATTAAATTCTGTTAAAAAAAGCATAAACAATACAAGACAAGTATAATACAGATATAACGTCAACAGTTAAACTTTTATTGCAATAACTTAACTTGCTCTGTTAACAGCTTCAGTAGATCAATGTTCAGTTGCTTATGCTTGAGATGAAAGGAAACCAACAATGTTCCTCGACAAATTTNGACACTACTTCTTTCACACTTCACGACACTACTTCTTTCACACTTATGAAATTTTCGAAATTTATTACGGTTCTACTTACTATGAGAAACACATATCAAGTTCATTCTCATTCTGATATAAATCAATTGCCATCGGTGGAGTGAACTCAGATTCATCATCATTTTCACTCCTCATAGCGAGCAATCTCAAAGATGAATTTACAGCCAGTTCCTCAATATTTGTCATTGCGATCGTATACCCCATATAATTTCTTCCCTTCCTAATGCAATCAGTATCATTCATTTATCTCCTGAAGTTCATTAAAGTTGATATTCAACGCTCGTTAATCCTCACCAGAAGTCCATGCAGGAGATCATTAGCGATATTTGTATTGAGTTCCTTTAGTGCATTGATGGAGAATTCCAGCGTTTTATCCGTTTTGAATAAGTCAATATTTCGACGAAACAGTATGTTGACAGCAACTTGAGAACGTCTACAGTACTGCATAAGTCTTGTGCGGCAAGAGTCTTCTCAATCTCATTGGAGCATTCCTAAATTTTGACACCGTGAAAACGACGTTTTCGTTTTTTTTCTTGTTTTTTTTAATCTTGTTTTACAACCAGATACAAAATTCAAACTTTTACCGAACGTTTCACTGATAAATTGCGGGAGTTTATCGTTCGTCATAGGAGATCCCCGGTACTGGAAACAGCACTTTCTCAGAAGCTTAATGTGTCGTTGGTACATTCACGAAAATAACGTACTTTTTCGATCAATCCATTTTGAATGCATCTTCATCAATTTCAGATTTTTTGCTGCCGAATATCATATTGTTCTTCGACGTTAAATGCACAAGTAGCTCTTTCGTAGTCAATCGTTTCGTTTTTTAGCTTCACCGCACAGTTAACATTTCGTACTTTCACTGCCTTGTTTGGAATAAAGATATTCCCGACAGCGAGACTGATTACCGTTTTCGCTGTATTTTTTAATATATCCGGACGAACGTGCACTGTTCAAAGACATATTTTAAGAATAAATGTGAAATTGATGGACTATAACAAATGGTAGGAAATACTGATCATTCTGTGAAAAACGAAATTCGAGCTTAATTAATATATGATACCAGATGAGTGTAATATCAAAATCATGCAAAATGCCTTGCTTTATCGAGCCCGAAATTCCGGTATCTTGGAACTGATGGATGCGGTTTATATTACCGATGAAGACGGAGCCGAGATAGCGATTTATCTACACAATCCAACAGCAATAATAACATTCATAATGACATTTCTTCACGAAACCCGGAGTTTGCCAGAACGTAAATTTTGGGATCGCGGGATTCAAATGTAAGGATCACGGGATTCCATGTGAATGATTCTACCGAAAATCATGGGAAAGGTTGAACTGAAACTGCGGTAGTTAATCGCATTCTTGTTGCAAATCACTAGTTTATCAATCACTGTTGAAGTAGTTGCTCATGAGTTCAAGTTCGAATGTAGAAATTCCGTTTCCGAATAAATCATTTCAGGAGCAGGTCTCAGTTTCGTTCAAGCGCAAGGTATGACACCAAATGCAACGAACTTTCTGAGTAGAATTTTCACGGTTGCTGGAGAGTCGTTGGAAATGGTCAGTGCTTGCAATCGCCTTCTTATCAAAGCTCAAAGAAAACTGTGCAGAAAAACGCGACTTCGTGCAACAAGAACCTCATTCATTTAGTGACGTTTTGTGCAAAGAAAAACTTGTTATTTTTTAGTCATACTTTCAATAAAATTCACTGCACACAATTCGCAACAAAATGAAGCCATCACTGTATATTTATCCAATTTTTGTCCTAGCCAGTTGATTTGAATTTAGGAACGTATAAGAATTGCCAACATCTCATCATGCAGTCTCGTATGCTCACATCTGATCGAGTGTTCTTTTCTAGATATCGATGACAACATCATTCAGAGAAGCGTATTCCAGTTATGAATGCGGAACGGCGAGTCAGCGCCGCATTTGCATGCAGATTTGCCTTGGTACTGTCCAGCTGAAGAGTGATGCATTCGCTCGGAATGCGTATCTGCGTTCATTCTTTTTCCCATCTCTCTACAGCATGATTGATATGAATCATTCTGCGTCGAATTTTTATCAGGTCTTTTGAGTATCAATTTATTCGCATTCCTTATACTGATGAGTGGACTCCATAGAAACTTTTTAAAAAGTAATGCTCTATTTGACTATCATAATTAGAATGAGAATTTGGATTATGGCGCTCGAAAATTCAATCCTCAAAAAACATCTCATCACTGTTTTTGGTTTCATTTGAAGGTTAAATTTGCCAATCCAATCAGCGGATCATTCATAACACTGAACGGCGAAGCTTCTTTCCGTATTTTGATCCCACTAAAGAACTTCGTTCTCTATCAATACTATGCGGTATATCTCTCAGTTATTTACATCACATGTTAATGCGAAATTTTGGTTTCAACCTGAATCACATTCTTTTAATCATATCTTGTGTCAGTACTTCCATAATAGTATATATGCATACTTTTGGAAAGAGTTGAAAAGGCTGTAGTCTGCCGTTTCGTTTGGAATGATAAATATGAAGAGGCAGTATCATTTATTGACACTTCAAATCAGTACGGCTCGATTGAAATTTGAATTTTGTGCTGAACTGAATCGAAATGTTGAAATTTGATTTGGATGACAAGAAACTTTTTGTTTCATCACTTATCGTTAGGAAAAACCGGTTGATTGATCAGATAACATATTTATTAAAATTTTTTATCCAGTTGCATGAAAAATTTCTTGAGCATACCCCTCCGCGAAACATTTCTTTTTCGAGAATCTGTGAAGCATATTGATGTAATCCATTTTCTTTCGAAGTTAATAACGGTTAAACACAATGAATTAACTGATTAAAGTGAACTTTTCGCAGTGCTTTGTACAAACTCATGGAATGTGGAGTGGAACAAACTGTGAGTCATCGGATGTAAAATGGATTTTAAACAGCACTTACGCCGTTGAATGCACTTGCACAAGATCTGGATACATCAGGTGCGTATGCTATGGCTGACTTGAGATTTTCAAAAGTTCACGTTTTGTTGGTAGAATGCTCTCAGTTTGCTGAATCTATAAATTTGTCGTAATTAGAAATTGATTTGCTGACCTCATTCTTGTGCAGTTGATCTGTCTGCTCATTACGTTACCGTCGACTCTATTCAAAAAGCAATGAGCAAAATGTTCAGCTTTTGCTGCATTTTGCTTGCGTTTTGAATTCAGTTTTACAAAGGAAACGTTTCCAATTATTCGTCTACGAATGCGCTTATCGGGACCTGGTTACACTCTGATGCAATTTGTCAAGTTCACGGTTTCGTTTCTCACATCCATCGGCATTTCCCATTATTTTTCAGCGTTTTCGTCGTCAGTCCGCCTACACCTCCTCCATATCCGCCATACAATGATGTTCTGTTGACATTCAAATTGGTCAGTTTTACCGCCATACCATTCCATCTGCATTTATCAGAAGTGGAGATTGGGTATTTGATGTGCATATATTTTACAGTCTTCAAATCCGACATGCAATAAAGCAGCAATATCAACATTCATTTCGCAAATTAGCGTTGCATCAGGTGTTAGCAGTAGACGGTTCGTGAATATGAGATGTGTAAACGATGGTGATCCCCTGATAATTATCACTCTTCGCTCACCTTTTCAACCAAATCAACGCGACAATAGTTATGTATGTGTGCTATCACCTTTAGCTGTCTGTGCCACATTCTTGACACAGCTCAGTATTCCCTTCATAAATACTGCACACCCAGATAAGCTGACTCTACTGGAAAGTTCCATTCTTCTTACCTAAGCTCACTGAAGCGATTTGAAGCNGTCGTTCAGAACACTTCTGTCCTTAAAGTTTGCTAAAATCGGAATCAAATGCTGGTCAGTTGTTATTTTACTGCAGGCAGTGCAAGCGATCAAGCGAGCGATAAACGTCAGTGAGCGCGGCTCACCGGTCTTTACATCATTCTATCCTGTCTTCGTGAATGCAACCACCATTCGCAGAGGTAATTTCATGATAATCCATTTTAACGCCTTGTATAAAATTGTAATCAGCTGTCATCTTTTTAATTCAATTTACAAGCAAGCTCAGCATTACAAGAGGATATAAACTGGTCTATTTTAAATATTATGGTCAAAAATAATCCCATGAATTGTTTTATATGTTAATTGCTTGGTTCCGGAATGTGTAATATACTGATCGCTTTTGATCTAATCGGTTGCATCATTTGAAATCGTTATTTATTTTCGATCTCGAAAGATTACTGGTTTACTGCTGTTGATTGGTCTAAACAGCTTCTCTGAATGATCACTAAACTGATGTTCCTTAGATCAACGGGAGTCTATTTTTGGGTTCCTTTAGAGTTCCTCTTCCTAGAAGTCATTGGGCAATAAGGAAGAGGAGTCCTGCACCTCTATGCTCGCTAAATCAGTGATCAAAGTTAGACTTTCATGAGGCCGAGTGATAATATTGTTAGCTGCGTAGAAAGAAGGATGTCAGGGAAGGAAGAATGTGATACTTGTGATGTTGGTGGAGGCACAAAGCCATGAACTGGTGATGAGTTGTAATTGCAGATCAAATAAATTGCTTTAAGATGAGTACATTATATGTCAGATTGGTTGTCTTCTATGGAAACTTGCCTGATTAGAGTTTGACTCGTGACAAAATTGATTCTGTTATGAGCTTTATTAAAGAATCCATCAAGCAATCTCGCTGAGAATGTGAATAGATGGAAAGAAACACTGGTATGTTTCAGCTCTGGACGGTGATGGATACGCCCGTCGAATGCGACTGCTAATAAATCGTTCGTACAAGAGTGCGATTGGGAATGACTCTGTTAGCTTAATGACAAGATGGTTACAATCAATCGCAACATCAACGCGTATCAGTATTTATCGCTTCAAAAATCCCCAACTCCTTGTCGGTAAACATTTTGTGATCATCATAGATCAGAATCAGAATTACGTTAATTGCTCAAGTGATGATCCCAAACCCAATCTGCTCTCTGCACACCAAAATACGTTCGTCGCTCATCCACATAAATATAAACGAATAACTTCCCTTCCAAGACGAATCTATTGAGCAAGAACATTACTACGAATTTACCTTACTGAGTCTTTTGCAAAGGTATGGCATTCAATTTCACGATCACAGTACCATTCGATGGTGAAATAAACCCGTTGAGTGCTGAGGAAATTGCGCAAATTATAATAGAAGAAACACAGTACGGTGAGTTGGACTTAGAAGATCGTCAAGGTAACGCACTACCTGTTATGCCCGCTACAATTGCCGACGTCACTAAACTAATCCCGATAGAAGGTTATTCTCTGTTCATTTTGTTTTCGAATTGAGATTCAGTGCTTTGGATGACTTCGTTTCAATGAAGCATCGTTCTCAATGAATTGTTTCACCAAAACAACTTGCATGCATTGGATGATTAATACATCGTGACGTTAATCACTCTGTGTATCCATCTTCAGAATCGAATGCGCTCGTCATTGCGATAGCAGTTGTTGTCAGCACATTTTTTCTCGCCTCGTCGACGATCATTTCGTTTTTGGTGATTCTGAAAATCCGAACTGAGCGACTTCTGGAGTTAAAGGAACGAATAATGGAACAAGCACGGTTTGTTCCTCATGACTGATGAGATGCTATTAATCATTAGCTCAGGCGCAGACTGAAGTGATTCGCTGACTCTGAATAAATCAAAATGAAATGATTTGCTTTACGATCCATTTACATGTGATATGATCATTACATGATCAAATTGAGTAATTCTCTGGCAAGCAAAGATGGAATCTGAAAGTGGAGGAGCATTATGCAGACAAATCCTCTCTCATGATTGTTTGCATGCAAAACTCACCTGCACCACAAGGGAAGTCATCTTTCTAAGGATTCATAAGCGGGTTACGATTCACCTTGTCAATACGCAAAATGTGACTTGCTAGTTTCTCTAAGTCTTGAGTTCTTCGGTTCCAATAAGTTGAAATTTGCAATGATTTCTGTCATCTTTCAAGGAATATCATAATGATGTCGGAATATAACTCAAGAAATGGTGTTCGTTTCAACGACGATTTCGACCACTCAATTTCTCGTCACGGTTAATGAATTGTTTGTAACTTTCATCGAAACCACCAACTTTATGCACAAGTCCAGTGATGTATCACGTCGGCTTGTAACGATAAATTTTCTTGTACCCAATGCAATCTCAAAAAATAAAATTTTCCGAATGGTAACCTTTGATTTCCACTATGTTTTCCCGAATTTACACTGAAATTTTCGGCGCGCTCCTGTGCAAAATGCTCAGTGACCTTGGAACCTCCACATTAGGGATTCAATTAGCCGAACAAACACATAACCCACATGATTTTAGGGTGATTTAATTTTGACCTTGATTATAGATAACATTTCCTCCATTGATCAGAAATATTTTCTCCTCATCACATCATTTAACACATTTTCCGCCCAGCAACTCTCATTTCATAATCCATTCCGNTCTGTAAACACATTTGCTATTCTTACTGAAGCCTATGAATCTCACATATTTTGATGCGCTTATGCTAATGAGTTGCCCACAATTGCAAATGGAACATAATTCAGCTGAATTTTTGAGCATTCAGGTCATAGTAAAGTAATTATTGTATTTATAGGTCATAGAGCGGTGCATCTGACGTCCTATCATCGATGAAAAAGAGATGACGAACTTATGCTCTGTTGGTATATGCTCATTAACGTTGTATTATCAGTACTTGATGAAATGCTCAAATATATTGGTCAGATTTAACTGAGCAGATAGGTGAATTTTTTCTTTGACCAGCAGATGTAGCCACTCATATAATTTTGATAATATTTATTGCATCTTTTTTAAGTAGAATAAACTTCAGTTTATTGAATGAATTTATTGAATTGTTTGAGCATCTTTCGGAATTTCTAGATTTCATAACGTCATAACTAAAGACGTCGTATTCCGGTTATTGATTGATTTAATTTTAAGATATCTCTAATTTAACGGCTGACTAAATTCGGTATGTTTCATGTAGTTGCTGCTTTTCAAAATTCTGAAATTATGAGTACATATTCTCCTAAAGAATGATATAGCGTGCAATGAAACAGCTGAACTTCATTCCGATAACTTTGAAATCTATAAATATGCCTGAAATGATTATGAAATAAATATGTTTATTGTGCCGTGTCAACTAACACTGCAATGAATTTACTCTCTTTTCCACTGACGACCCCCTTTCGACGAATTCACCAATACATTCATCATATTCATCCATTTCCAATCAGATCAATAACCATCTATCTAACACCATGCTGAACAGATCCTTCTTCACACTGTATAGTCGGCTGATTCAGATTTCCCTGTTTTTGTTGTTTTATTTCCCCGATCGCCGCTATCACGATGTATTGTCACTGAAAGTATCCTTAACTGAGTTTATTGTTTACTGATAGCGTTTAAAGTATAACGTTTAATTTTACTGATAATGCCCGCGTTTCGAAGGCGAGTTATCTATTGAAGGCAAGTGTCAATAAAATACCTAAATCATATTAATTCGTATCTGACGTGTAGCTTTCGAGGAAATATTTTTAATGAACGTTTATGACTGTCTGTCGCCTTGACTGGAATATAAATTCAATAATTCCAGATATTATTTTGAACATTCTTTATTATTAGTTGGAGACATATATTTATGGTGAGAGAATGAACTTGGGAACCCAAATGAGTCATTCAAGAAANAGATGCACTTGATCGATAATTATTTAATCGTATTTCTACTGCTTCATACTTTACCATACTTTATGTATTTATGAAATTATCTCATTTTGACATGAGTACAAATTTTGAGTAGTAAAAAATGGCACTTGCGCACGAGACCGGTTTTTCGATCAAATGAAGATCTTGTGATGGAAATTTAATGAATTAAATGAATTTCATGTATTGAATTCCATTAACTCTCCTCATTGATTTATTGCGCGTGCTCCATGATCCTCCTTGTTTTCGTTCCGAGTCAGCAATTCTTCTCAATTTAGTAGTCACCTTTTCGAGGAATTTTTTCAATTACGAATAGAAACTGAAATTTCAATATTCAATTCCTCACTAGGTGCTAAGGTTGCGTAGAATACCGTTGACATGTCTTGAGTTCAGAATCGAGCAACTCCACTTCGGGAAGGTTGGGACTTGTTCACATTGATTAATTCATTCAAAAAGCAGTCGAGTTACTAACCGAGAAAAGTCAATGGAAGGGATTCAAAGCCTTCTGCTTTGATGATAGTGAAGTTATCGGTAGATACTGAGGAGCGGGAAGATTTTGTGGAATCGTTCGTTACTCTTTAGTCGTTCCCTGGACGGAGTGATTTATTTTTGAATGCTTCATTGGATACTAGGACAGCTATCTGGTTCCATGTTGAATGCACCACCCCTTTGTCATCGATCATTCCAACTGCACGATCTTTCAGTTCCACAACCGATCGCAAGATGTTTAGCGACTTGTTAGAAAATATTGTGTATTTGATTTTCGTCTAGTCATTACATCGCGATTTTTTGAGACGAAAAAAGAACAAGATTTCATTCGGATATCCAATCAGTCGTATTTGTTTATCTTGTTTCTCCGAATTCACCGCATCCAAATTTTGTTGTCTGCAAACGATGAAGAAATCGTTTGTTAAAACATTGAGTGTCATCACTTTCAATGCGTACTATCATCATGGCAATGTGAAACAACTGCAGAATTCAGTTCATTTATTTTCCCGAGGAAAATCCTGAAGCTTTTTTCCACTTAATATTTTATTTCTATTGTCTATTAATTTCGAATTTATTCGATGTAGCCTTGAATAATGACTGTTTGAGCGAGATGAGATAGCCGAGTGCAGCACTATTCAATCACTGGCTATCCATCTGAGTAAATTAGTTTTTCAACGGTATTCAGTAAGAAACAAACATTACTAACATAGACATTTCAGGCAGCAATATTATAGTGGACGTCGTCGCTTCAAAGCGCTATTCGTCGATAATTTGTTTGATCGTTGCGAAACACCA